TTTCTTGTCGGCGCCGACATAAATACGGTGTCGGTTAAGTTTAAACAGTTTCATATAAAATGTTCTGCCACTGGAGCAGCCGATTTTCTGCCGGGCCCGACACCCGACAAGTGAGAACGGGCTCTTATATTTATAGGCTTTGTTTCGTCTCATTGTTTGTTTTTTCGTAGCTCATGTGTGCAAAACACCTTCACGTAAGAAGACATTTCTAATGTTACGGTAATGTTTTTAATAAATGCAGAATCAGCATGGACTGTGCGTTCGTTTGTCATCCTCATTCTATAAAAAAAATTTATAAACGTAAGGGTGACTAACAATAACACTGTCCACCTGATTGTTAGTAGACGCTGTAGCCTGTAGACAGCTTCATCTGTCCTCGATTTAGAAATAAAATGTAGATGCCTTATCTCATCCCAGAGGACTAACATATATGGTTTGCTTCGTTATTACTAAAATAGATCTCCAGTTCTCTTTACTTACCATAGGAAATACCGCACTATGCTGCTATATCAGGATCTGTAACTATTTCCTAAAACTAAAACAAAACATGTGTAGCAGCATCTTCCTGATAACAATTGAAAATAACAAAACAAAAAACATATTGCCATACCGCTTGCTAACCGCGACAACTCAACAATTGCTCTTGGTCTGGATATGTGTCCTTGAGAAAATTGTTTATGTAAACCACCACTACGATACAGGAGGAAATCCTACGGTGCGAGTAAGGTTTTAAAAAACTATTGCCCAAATACTCAAACGCTGCTCAATTTTAAGATGCCGTTAAGTCTCGTGCTGTCTCTATCACTTTAAGTCAAAGTGACTGCGACACCTGCGTTTTAAATTGAGTTTCGTTTGAGTATTTGGCCATATTTCGTTTCTCGCTATCGCTTATTACTTGTCACTTGATCGAGGTCGCAGCTCGACGTGCATTGTATAGGCGTTCGTTGTTCGAATGTCTGTCGTTCGGTTTCGCATTCGCATTCACGCGGGAAGGTTTTTGTGCTACGAACGCATGCGCCTAGTGCCCAATAGTTATAGTAATATATACAGTACCTAGCGACTTACTCCTTCTGAACAACTTTTTTTTAAAGTTTTTGTTTATGATCCTCGTGCGTGAGTTATAAAAAAAAACAATATTGTGCAAAAATTTGTTTAAAGTGCCCGTTACGACCTCAAGCGGTTTGTTTCTAATTTATTTTAACATTTGTCTGATAATGTTGTGACATTATTGTTGATTTGAAAATTGTTTTAAATATTGTTATTTGATGTTATTCAAATGTTTTTTCATGTTTTTTTACGCGGTAGAGCCTTATATAATTGCATATATACTATAGTTGTAGCATGAATGAGTCTGCTCTACCGCGGATAGACCACGCTTTCATAGATACTAGAGTAAAATAGCAGTTTAATGGTGGTGTTTCATATGATGAGTGTTGAGAACTCCGTCTTAGTCCTCAGGGGTGACAACGCCTCTGCAGTTTGATTCTTAAACGAGGATGGATGTAGATGTCTATGGAACACAGCATTCTCTTACCATCAGGTGGATTGTGTGCTCGTTCATCACCCTTATTCTTTATAAAAAAATATAGTATAAAATATATTAAAACTTTAAGTAAGTAAGTTTAAATCTGAAGTTTATATTTATGTATAACCTGTTAAAAAAAATTGTTGAGGAAATTAGCTCTGTCTGTTTTCCATTCAAAATTAATTAAAACTACGAGTAACAGCGATTTAATAATATCTAGTAGTCTGGCTTCTTGGAACTCTCAGTTTTTTCCCTCTGTTGCCTCTTACGGCATTCAGAGTTTGATATGGTGTAATAGACGTGCTTACACCGCCACTACATGGTTAAAAACCTTGTTGTAATTATTTAACGGAGGCCGTTCGCATTACTTACTGTTATCTATACAAATATATAAAATTGAAGTGTCTGTTTGTAATGTCAAAATAACATCTTTTAACTTTATGCATATGAAAGCATATACGGTACTTATAACAAAAACACGATTTTTAAAAATTTTGTCTGTCTGTCTTTCTCTCTGTGTGTCTGTCTGTTTGTTCCGGCTAATCTCCAAAACGGCTGGACCGATTTTGACCGGACTTTCACTGGCAGATAGCTGATGTTATAAGAAGTAACTTAGTTTACTTTTATTTTCGAAAAATTATTAGGATTCCGCGCAAAAAATTATAACCTATGAAATCCAATCGTAATAAATTACGCGCGTACGAAGTCGCGGGGAACAGAAAGTTTATACTAAAATAACACTTCCTTTGTCCTGTGGCCTTTTCAACAACGTAACTAAATTCTTAATTTGTCAAATTTAATGTCGTTTTCACGGTTAAACACGTCACGTTTACTTCACTTGGAAGTACATATTTACGACTATAGACTTGACCGTGTAAAATCGGAGTGTTCGAGTATGGTCACGGACTCACGCGTTTTATGAAACAATCTTGAATTGGATTCTTCTTTTCTTAAGCAGCATTAGTTATATTGTTTTTTTTTTTTCAAATTATTTTCGAATATTAATTAATTTTTAAAAATTCAAGTTATAAACGAATCTGCAGCCCATCTGATGGCAATTGGCTACTGCAGCCCATGGACATCTGCCACTAACTTCAAATAAGTAAGGCTACTGATGCGTTGTCACCTAAGGTCTAAAATGGAATGCCTCACAACTAGTAATTATACTGACTCTCTGCACTTTTTAAAGCGGAACACAGCAGTGCGCGAGCTGCTGTAGCCGGCAAGAATAGGTAACAGGGTGGTACGTAGTACGTACCCAAACGGACTCCTAGGTAAAATCCAAAGTATGTTTTCATTAACCAGATTAGAAAGGTTCATCATCGTCATCATCATTACAGCCCTTCACAGATCCACTGCTGAACATAGACCTCCCCCAAGGAATGCCACAAAGCACAGTCCTGAGCCACCTGCATCCATCGACTTCGTGCATGTCTTACCAGGTCGTCACTCATCTACTGAGGGGCGTCCCCCTACTAGATGGAGTGACGACACTATCGCCTATAACACTTCGCCTACTGGTGCGACATATACCCCCATGTTGAAAGTTAAAAAGGTTGTCTGGACGAAATCACATTCAGAGTGAGACAGTCTGTTTTACATTTAAAATGACTATTGGTCGCTTAGTGGTCGAAATACGACTGTAATTACCGACACTATACGCGATTACACCACATACTTATGATTACAACTGACTGGGTCGGCTTGACCGGGGAAGGACCACACTCGCACAGGATTCAGCTTGAAATAGCAGCATGATGCTGCTGTGTTTCATATGGTTAGTGACGAGTATTGGAGGCTCCTTTGTAATGACGAGGCATTACGTCTTACCATGAGATAATATCCACTTATCATGTGGTAGGCTGTATGCTCATTTGTCACCCCTACTTTATTCTTTAAAAAAAAACCTAGGTGCTGACTGCGCCCTAATTTGTTCGGTTCTATCAAAACAACTTTTATGACAACCAACAAGATAAAATAATACATTCCTTTGCACCAATTATAAGCTAAATGCATGAAGCCATTTACTAAGGTGCAAGTGGTTTCGTATTGTGAAAGTGGTCAAGCCACACTGCAGTTGTATTATGTCTGCAACAGTATCTAGGGGGTTGGCTCGGTCGAGGAAGGAGCACGATCATACAGAATACCAGTGTAAAATAATGGCACAATGCTGGTGTGCCTCGTGTAGTGAGTTTAGGGGACCGGAGGGGCATTCCTTCTTATTTCTCAAGATTGAAACACAGTTGCACTTTAATTCTTAATCGAGAATAAATGTAGGTTTTCCTTGGCCACAGCAATCACCGTGTGGTCGTTTTGTCACCGTAGCTTCTTTCAAAAATACATTGGTCATTAAGAAATGCATATCAATATCTGCGCACACTTGTAGCACTATGATATTTCCTGTACACATGATAGCGTCCATCACCAATTTCGAGAGTGCGACGTTTTTTTATAACAACGATGTCCTTCACTTACCCAAGCAATCATACTACTAAATATTATTTAGAATATTTTCCTTTGTAATACGTAACATTTTTAGAAGCTAAGCGATTTGTTGTACCGAATTTATTGTAGAGTTTAACATTTACAAAAATTAAATTGGCGATAATGGCTGTGGAAATTTATTTAATTTAATTTTAATGCACAAAGTTGTACGTATGGCAGACTTAATGCCATAGGGCATTCTATTCCAGGCAACCATTAGGCCAAACAGACAGACATATAAATTACGCATAAAAGATGAAATTATATATAAAAATATACTTATTATATAATTACATGAGTATGTCGAAATATCATGTTACTACGTGCAAAAAGGTACTCTAAGATCATAGCATGTTCTAACCATTGAGTTATATGTACTACGTACTAGATAAGCCATTCCAAACAATAATTGTGTCCTACTCTATGTATTCAAGCATGCGCGGGAGTACCAGTCGCGCATGCGCGAAGACTTTAATTTGATATAAAATAAGATATTAATATAAAATTAATATAAGGATTTAATATAAAATATCTTAATTTAATCTAAACAAACATATTTCTAAATAAAATGTTATAATAATTATTTTATGGAATTCACAAATCTTCAATTTACGCAATATTTAGTTTGTATAGATTGCACTACAGTTCAGTTGAACATAGTCAATGTTCGGAATGGCTTCTCTAGTACGTAGTAGATATAACTCAATGGTTCTAACAGTTCTTACTGCGGCATAAGTGCAGCGAAGTGTTCTTTTGCGACAATTTGTCGTTGACGCCTTATACGTCGGAAATTAAAATAATTAAAATAAAACGCGCTAAAATCCATAAAATAATTTTTATTCAATCATCATCATCATCATCTCTCAAAATTCTACTGCTGCATAATTATGCTGGATATCACAATGAACTCTGCACATTTCTACTAATGTAAGTACCTACATAATTATTATAGCAACCCAAGTTTGTAACAATGACGTTTGTTTGTTCGCAGGTACGCGGAAGCGGGCTTGTATCAAGCGGGTAATATCTCATCGTCATCGGGTGCATCATCCGGATCCCACCCGGCCTCACCTCTCCCGCACTCGCTGTTCACGCACGAGCCCCTTTACCAGTTTTACAACGCGGCGAAAGTAGAGGTACATGATTGCAATTATTTTGAGAGCTATTCTTTTATAATACTAGAGTACCAATCGTAACGCATCCGTAATGTCTAAAAAAATTTCGCTATTAAAATTAAGAAAATGTATATCATATAATTTGAATACAGGTACTTTCGTAATGTTTGAAAACTTGGACGGTTTTCTGATTTAGCTTCTAATTGCACACATCGAACACGAAGCGTAAATGTAGTGCTCTATTGTCACCAAATCAAAAAATCGCGATCCACTCAACTTAAATCACTTCCACCAGCTTTATGTTGCACTTGGGTATCTAATAAAAAAAATATTTTATGTTTGTTTTGAAACGGTAGTAGATGGTATTACCGTAGTACTATTATACAGTATTGTCCAAATAGTGACGTCCGAAAAATAATTAAATTCCCCACACCTAGGGTTATCCGAAAATACCCCATGTATATTATCCTACTTTTGTAGTTTTCGAGTTATAATTTGTTTTGTATTTTTTTAGTGTTTTCTACCAGTGGGGCTTCAAAATTTTTTTTTTCTTTTGACATGATTGTTTTAAATTACTTTCACACATAAAATAATAAATTTCCTAACATTCCTGCAAGTTACTCAAAACAGCATCGAAAGTAAGAATTTTAGTTTTTAGTGGGGTAGACTGAAATTATCAAGTTCAATTTAAAAATACACAAATGAGTTTCTATAGGTTCTAACTGATTTTAAAAACTTTGCAAGTCTATAAGCTATTTAAAACATTATCACTAACACACATAAACACTAAAAAAATGCAAAAAAAAAAGTATAACTCGAAAACTATGTACGGATACCCCTAGATGTGAGCCAAAAATTAACTATCGAGTTTTTCTATCAAGATATTTTCAATAGCATTCCGGAGTCATGAAGCTTGCTGTGTTCCACCTTCGTGTACCGGAAAGCACGTAAAGCCGATGGTCGTGCGCCTGATCTCTCTCCGTTGGTGTCAGATTACGTTCCCATTGGACTATGAGAGTGAGGGAATAGAGAATGCATCTATGCTCACACATTTGGGCACTTTATAGGTAATCCTGTCCTGCGCAGATGGCTAGTCTCTGTCGATACTGGCCGTCGTAACCGAAATTCCGTCTCAATTGTTTTACCTCGGACTCAGCCCAGATAATAAACTACGTCTAATTTATCTTTGTAATTAGTTATTTAATACTATGATCAACCGTGACATTGTCATTAATTACTCCATTAAATCCTCGTCAAAAACGTGTTGCAAACATGACATTGGCTTAATAATAATATAGAAATAATTTTTCCTAAGCGCTATTTAAAAGCAATCTGTAACAAATAAATATCAAATATATTTGCATCAATGATTATGGCTGACATTTTAAGATTTTTTAATTATTTCTGCTTGTTTTCGACTACGACTTTAGCTGTATTATTTCTATTAGAAAATATAGTCGTAGGCATTGTTTTGGCGTAACATATCATTTATGACCCGAGTATAGTTTGGATCGGTTTTGTATTAATACATTATAACTGTATAATTTTTCTATTATGTAGTAATGATATCCACCTGACTTGTCTAGTTCACCCAACTAGGGCTATACTATGTCTATACAAGCTGCTAACAATAAAGAAGTGTATAAGTAATAAACATCTTCACACACTTTCTTGTAGGTACTTACATTATATTAGTACGGAATATAATGGGCAACTTTTGTTTGCATATTCCAAATCAAATATGTTCCAAAATTATTATTAGACAAAGTAAACCCACAGCTTGATCGCTTACCTAACTCATATTTCGGAGTCTCAACAGATTTAATACAAATTGATTATTTACCTAAGTATTCACTTTAATCGTTCATATTGTGTCTTATTTTATAATTTCCGGTAAAATTTGAATACATTCCTAAAATAAACACACTATTTTTTCTATTATTTATTCTAGGCAAGTTCAGAAAAGATAATTTAAAATTAAAAATTTTGTACAACCGACTTCAATAAAAATTATCAAGAATAACTCAAAAACTATTGGTCACACCTTGATCAAATTTATATTATTTAATATGGGACCACATGAGAATGACCAGCTTTCAAATAAAAAAAGAATCATCGAAATCGGTTCACCCAGTAAAAAGTTATGAGGTAACACACATAAAAAAACATACAGTCGAATTGAGTACAGTCTCCTTTTTGAAGTCGGGTAGAAAAAGAGATCTAAAACAATTTTAAATAATGTGTTATTTTCCGTCCCACTGAATAAAGAATAGTTCGTTGCGCTCGCCAACGAAATTGAGCTTTGCATGTTCTCAAATTTTATGTTATTTCCACATGCATGTTTCATCATATTTTTATTCACTACCGGACATGTTGTAAATCATTGTGATCAACAATTTCAGTTAGTTTAGTTTTATATTATTATGGTTAGCGGCTAATGCAACCCACCTCAAGAGTCCCCTTTATCCTTCTAAGGACTGAGATGAACCTCACAGCCTATAATTAAACGGTCATACAAAATTACATAATTTAAAATTAAAAAATTTGTACAGCCGACTTCAATATAAGTTATTAAGAATAACTCAAAAACTATTGGTCTGACCTTGATCAAATTCATATGGGACCACAAAAGAAGTACCAGCTTTCAAATAAAAAAAGAATAATCGAAATCGGTTCACCCAGTAAAAAGTTATGAGGTAACACACATAAAGAAACATACGGTCGAATTGAGTACCGTCTCCTTTTTGGAAGTCGGCAGAAAATTATACTTTTTGTAAGTCATGTTTAAGTTTAATTTACTACTGAGTTTGGCAAACACCTCTGTTCTATGAAGAACCAGCATAGATTCGGTGGAGCTTTAAGGAAACAGCTTACAATTTTGTATTCTGTTGTAAAATTAATTATACAAATCATCTTAGAAACAAATTCGTAGCGATCACTGCATTCCCAAGATCACCCTTTTCATTGATAATATTTAATCGTCAAGATTTATCTTTTCTCGTCTCGACCTATCAGAGTCTATATGCAGCTGTTTGGCGGTAGATATAAGGTATGAGGGTGGCACCCTCCCATACGGACGCTTAGACAGGAAAGGTCATCACCTAGAAGAGATAGAAGAGTTGTTTATATTTTCTTTAGTAAATACTAATTAGTTTATTTGTTTAAAGCATAAAATTATAATATTGAAGTCTCAACGTCATGTTGGACGCTATTTTATCGCGGTCATTGAAAACCGCATAAGTACATTTTTCAAGTTTTTCTGGTATCACATTACGCACCTTTCAAGGAACTGTTATCGTAATTAAAATAAAACTGAACGCAGCAAACAAACTACAATGGCTGACATTGCGTCAGAAATGGCGGGATTTTACATAACACTTGTAAGTGTCTACTAGTCAACAATCTTTTTTCGTGTACGCACGTCAACGTTGCATGTAAAAAGAAGTTTAAAATGATAAAGAAAGGAGTGCTGCGGTGGTTTGTACAGGTAGAAAATATGAATGGGAAAAGGGTGACTTATGATCCAGAAAGGAGTAGCAGAGTCTGCAAGAGACGCGAATATTATTTACGTTTATTACATATTATTACATTGCAATTCATTATGGCTGTAGCCCAAATGGGTCGCCTAGACCGTGGAAAGAGCACGCTCGTTCAGTCTTTTCTTTTTCTTCTACCTTCGTCAGCCTATCACAAGTATACGAACAAAGGCCTCTCCCAAAGAATGCTACAAAGCACTGTCTTGAGTCACCTGCATCCATCGACTGCCTGCATATCTTACCAGGTCCTCACACCAATGAGAAGGGGGCCGCCGACTCTCTACTCTCTAGAAACTTTCTTCCTCATCGGTTCTTCGAGTTATATGGCCGACTCATTGCCACTTCAACTTATATCTGTGTGCTATGTCGGTTACACACGTTCTGCTGTCAATATCCTCATTATTACGCTGAGAAACTCCGAGTATGGCCCTCTCCATAGCTCATTGAGCGACTTCGAACTACCTTTTATGGCCAACCGTGAAGGACCACATTTCAGATCCATTCGTCAACACTGGCAGCACGCACTGGATTCAAATTTTGAGGTATATTTGAAGAGTAGATGTTCAGTTGAGTTGGTCATACATCTGGCGTAAATGAAATGCTTATACCGCCCATCTATTGGAACTATAAGATTTTATGGTATTTGCCTTAGTCAACTCTTAAAACACCAACGAGAAAAAAAAGAAAGGCGATGGATTCTCTTACGCCGTCACTACACTGTTTTTTTTTTCACTGAATACTTGTATTCGTATGGTGAATTACAAGGACCTAGTATTTAGGTGTGATATCGCATCTGCATACAGATTCTTGATTGAGATGTGGGTGTTTATGGGTGGCCCACATCTCACATCACACGCACTTATCATCAGGTGTACTGTGTATTAGTTTGTCAGCCTTATTTCTATAAAAAATAACTTACGGTTTACGAGATAGCCTTTGAGAAAGCCTTTGCGAAGCGACGCCTTATACAACCTAGATATGAGTGATTTAGGATTTTCTAAATTTTACCTTTAACTACAAAATTTAAAGTTTTTCTTTCGAATTAACTAGGTTTACTTGAATTGAATAAATTTTCGTTATATTTAAACATGAATGAAGTCAACGAAAGCAGCTAATTCATTGCGGGAAAGCATTATAAATGGTACAAAGTTAATTCCCTGCGTGTGCGTGAAACAAAACGCCGGTAAAGAGTGTAGGTATTATACTGTTTATTGTATATTAACGTTAATTAACACAATTTACACGCCGTCAGCGCTCACACCGCAGTATTGTATCGATGTTTGTATTATTTAGCGTTCTAATTAAACTTCTCAATTGATATGACCTTCAGTGATCCCTGATATTGAACTTGATATGCGAGTTCAAAACCTTACTAATTTTTTCTCTCTCAGATGTAACATTTGCGTAAAAAGGTACTCTAGAGTGACTAATTTGCATAATGTTGACGTATATAGAGTGAGGGTTGGATCTTGCCCACACTAGAATTGTCTAATTTCCAGCCCAGAATTTTTTGATACAGAGCCAACATTAGAATTCTTAAAAAGTTAGTTTAATGTATAAATAAAGTAGTAATCTAAATAAGCAGATCACGAAAGATGTTTTTGTTTATTTTTTTTATTTAGTAAAGAAACATTTTGATAATCGATATCTGAAATATGACTCAACACTTCAAGTTTTAATTACTTCCTGAGAGCCGCTGATTAATATTTCATATATTATCCTTAGATAACTAAATAAATCCCGTATATTATTCGCCGCTGTAAGAAAATCAAGGTGAGAAAGAGCGATAGGGTTGTCCTAATAGACGACATCTATCGAAGACTGAGAAACGTCTTCAATAGAGGGCAGTTTAAATATTTCGTAGGTATATGGCAGATGTAACCCAGAACAGCGACAGCCTCTATCATATAAAAAAAAAGTAAAGTAAAGTTGCAGCTTATTTACGTCCCACTACTGGGCACAGGCCTCCTCTCATTTCTGAGAGGGTTTTAGGGCAAGCAAATGTCCGCCGCGCTGCCCCAATGCGTGTTAGCGAACTTCACATGTCTTCGAAATATCTCTCTAGCATATGAGCAGGATTAATCTTCTTATCCGTCAAGTTTTTTCGATATTACAGACAGACACTTAAATTTTTTGTATGAGTAATTAGCTGTGATGGTTGTCCGCAGTCGACGTGCCGTGAGAGCGGCGACTCGGACTCGGACGGGTACGAGGCGGGCGCGGCGCCGGCGCGGCCGTCCGCCATGGCGCTGGTGGCGCCGCGCGGGCCCGCGCGCACGCTCTGGTGCGAGGTGCCCGAGGTGCTCAACTCCGCCGTGCTCAGTGAGTATATCCGCGTCTCATCGTATACGGCACCAGTCAGCACAGCGCAATAGTCGATTTATACAATAATTTAAAATTAAGAACTTTATACAACCGACTTCACTATAAATTATTAAGAATAACTCAAAAACCATTGGTCAGACCTTGATCAAATGTATATGTAACCACATGTGAAGCACCAGCTTTGAAATAAAAAAAAGAGTCGTCGAAATCTGTTCACCCAGTAAAAAGTTATGAGGTAACACACATAAAAAAACATACGAAGTCGAATTGAGTGCCGTCTCCTTTTTGAATCGGTAGAAAAGCTCGTAAGTCTCTTCGGTGAAGTACAAGGGCGTGGCGTGGGTACGGTGAACATTATTTCAAGTATTTGAACCCGTTAGTTAAACTTGGTCATCTATCAGATATTCACGTGTCATTCGCCTGCAGTACATTATCTGGAAAATGTGCATGCGCAAATACTGTCACTTGATGCTCACGACTCGTGCCGCTAATTATACCTTAATTAGTTTTATGTTTTTTTTTAATTGGAATACATCTGTCTAAAAAAGTTTGTATTATAAAAAAAGACCGAATTTGTTCTCACTAACTTGCCTACCAGCGTAGTGAGTTTGTTCTTTCAACTTACGAATGCCAGTTGACGCATTCCGTTACCGTTACAGCCTATTAAAATCCACTGCTAAACATAGGCATAGATTGCCTAATAGGAGGCATTTTTGCCATAGTTGCCATGCTTGCCAAGTCGGTTGACGTAGAGATTTGAAAATGTTATATCCAGCCAGCAATAGCTTATTAATGCTGATATAGAAGCGACCTTAAGGAGTTTTAATTTATATTTTTTTTGTGTATAAGGGGATCACATCTATATTTAAATATAATAAATCTGTAAAAAATTTGTGTGTTCACGATTCACACAATAACTACTGGACAGATTTTCATAAAATTTAATATGTAGGCAGTACAAGTCCGTGTATAACATATAGGCACTTTATATCAACCTTCGGAAGGCTAAAAAAAAAAAAAGAAAGGTTACATTATTCCATTTTTTAAAGTTTATCGTCATAATGCTTAAACCTTTTGACTAATAGGACATATTAGTCAAAAGGTTTAAGCTGTTCATATAATAAGTCTTTTTAAAAATGTGTGCATCGCGTCAGGGCAGAATAACGCCTGCCGGGTCAGCTAGTTTTCTTTACAAAAGTGAGAATGACCCATGAGCGCACAATCCACCTGATGGTAAGTGGATGCTGTGGTCCATAGATACCTACATTTATCTTCAATGAACAATCTAAATGCAGATGAGTTGTCATCCTTGAAGACTTAAATAGAATACCAGCACTAAAAAGACAACAACAATAAAAATAAAAAGATTAGCAGTTTGTATATGGTGTCAGAGATCGATAAAGATAAATAATTTAAATATGAAAATTTTTTACGACCGACTTCTATTTAAATTATTAAGAATAACTCAAAAACTATTGGTCAGACCTAGACCAAATTTATATGGGACCACATGTGAAGCACCAGCTTTGAAATAAAATAAGAATCATCGAAATCGGTTCACTCTGTAAAAAGTTATGAGGTAACACAAATAAAAAACAGTCTCCTTTTTGAAGTCGGTATAAAAGTAACAAAAAGTCTATTTTCTTTTTGCTATTTTAGATTTTTTCCTAATACTCGAGTGACAAATAAACTAACATTCCATCTTATAATTAGTTGCAACTCATAAACACCTACACCCCATTTGAGAGAAAGGAGTCGCAGATGCCACATCATCCGTAAGGACTAAGATGAAAGGCACATCTTAGTGCGTAATTTTACCATCTCTCTTTCCCTTCTAACGGAACACCGTAATGCTGTTTGTTGGCAAGGTTAGTTAAATGGATGGTGTTTCGCCTAGGCGCACACTTAAGCAGAAAAATGGCCCCTACCCCTTAGAAAGTGAAATGCATATTATAATCTTCTAATCGTCCTTTCTTTTTTTCTATAGGTTCGCTAGCTCCAGCGCAAAAACGCCTGCAAGAGGCGAAGTTCGAAGTGTTGACGTCTGAAGCTTCTTACCTAAACTCGCTGAATGTCTTGGAGGCGCATTTTATATCGCACCCCGCATTCCGCGACCCACAAGTGCTGCCTCCGGAAGATTGGGAAGCGCTATTCGGTTCCATATTGCCAGGTACAACTTGCTAAGCATGCCTGTGTGTAACAGAAATATATAAATGTTGAATTTAATTTCATTATTTCCTTATATCCACCGCGTATTGCTTCTCATTTTGCGTATTGTACTCACCTCAAAATTACTAATAAATTAATCTGGCTCAAAGGACCAGTTGGTTATTTAAGAACTATGCTTACCCTGCCTATCTTCACTTGTTATATAAAATATATTTATATTATATTTACCACGTGTTGCTCTTGTGTTTGCATTTTGCATTTTACTTAGAATTACTGTTAACTTGATCCGGCTCAAGAGACCAGTTCATTTGAGAGCCATGCTTGTTTCTACAGTGTTAATTCATGAGTTTATCTAAACCACAAATTTATTCACTTATTAATACGACAAAATACAATGGAAAAAGCTAGATATGAATGCTGGGAATTGCTAGTCTAGTTTTGCCTCGGCCGCAAAAGATGATAAAGATTTATGTCAGAGCTACTTTACTACAGTAACGTTTTTTTTTTAATCCTCAATTTGATCCTGCTATTCTTAAAGAACGTGTAACTGTACAATATGTACAACATATATAGATAGATTCCTAAATAGAAAAGGATCTGTATACTATACTAATGTCGCTGATCCTGCGGTACAACCCTTCAACAGGACTTGACATTATTTAAAAAGAACTGCCCCGCAAAAGTTTGATATCACTAGTATCGTTGTCGTACGTGTTATATGGTGCGATCGAAACCTTAAGTGTTATCGTGTGTTCCAGTGCGCAGATGCTCGCAGATGCTGATGGGTGACCTGGAGAAGTGCTGGCAGGAGAATATCTTGCTGCAGGACATCTGCGACATCGTGCGGCGGCACGCGGAGGCGCGCTTCCACGTGTACGTGAAGTACTGCGAGCAGCAGGCCGCCATGGTGCGCACCCTGCAGCGCCTTCGCGACCGCCCCGTCTTCGCTGCAGCACTGCACAGGTCACCCCACCATCTCCACCATACCCTACATTTAAATGTCCCCTTGTTTATCTCGGTATAGACTACAGTGATGGTAATGTTCCTCGTGGTTGATTTCTAATTTGCAGACTACATTCAAATAGGTGCTATCTGAAGTCATCCAAATAAACAGTTTAAATAAACCAATGTAGCAAATAAACCAACGAGCAAGTAGTCTGTGAGGTACTACGATCTCACAGAATACCGGCGTGAAGTAGAAGCTATGCTTCTGCGTTTCGTCTGGTGAGTGCAGGTGGCCGGGAGCCCAATTCCCTCCCCCCCCCCCCATCAACAGGGAAGTGGAATTACACGACAGACTACCCCAGGAAGGTACCAGTACCCCTGGAGAATCCCTCGCTGAGCACCACGCCCATGTTATTCCAATCCTGAGCGTGGGTGCTCAGGCTGCCCCGCATATTCTGGAGGGGGGGGGGGGGAAATTCCGCTCAAAAACATAACTGCTCGGGGCAAACTGAGCAACAATACCAAGGCGATAATGCCGAAACAGACCGACTCATCGACCACATCCAAATTGCTACAGATTCCTTGCTACAACAGGTCCCATCTGCAGAGATCGTGATCCTTGGCGATTTTAACGCCCACCACGCCGAATAGCTCGGTTCACGTTTAACCGATCATGCGGGGAGATCTGTTTATGTCTTTGCGTTGGCATATGGTCTGATAACTGGTTACTTCGCCTACGCGGATTCCAGATGTGGAGGATCATACACCTTCCCTGTTGGACCTTCTGCTGAGCTCACATCGGGACGGATATCAGGTTTCCGTCGATGCCCCTCTCGGCTTTTCGGACCATTGTCTGATCCGGAGTACGGTGCCACTCACGCTCCCCTCGCGCTTCGGTTCTGCAGGTTGCCGCCGTGCTTGGCATTACAGGTCCGCGGATTGGGACTGAATGCGGTCTTTCTTTGCATCCTACCCATGGGGGGGTTCGCTTCTCGCCGGATGATCCCAGCGCTGTTGCTGACTCTGTCACTGATGTGGTGCTACAGGGAATTAACTATTTATTCCATCATCTGTGGTACCCATCGGAGGCAGATCTCAGCCTTAGTTTGGTCGCTCCTGTAAGACTGCATTACGCAGTAAGCAGAGGTGTTATCAAGCCTGGGCTGCGGCTTCGACGACTCGGGATGTAAACACCAGCAACACTTAAAAAGAAGTATAACTTCGCCTCCAGGTCCTTCAAAAGAGTTATTGCCACGGCAAAGTCAGAGCACATAGGCAGAATTGGCGAGAAACTAGTTCGCCTTCCTTCGGATACCCGTGCATTCTGGTCTCTCGCCAAGGCTGTCCAAGGGAATTTCTGTAAGCCATCACTACCATCTCTGCACAGGGAGGACGACTCACTGGCCCAAGCCGCAAAAGACAAAGCCGACCTTTTAGGCTCCCTTTTTGCGTCCAACTCGGCTATTGATGACGGGCGGAAAACACCGCCGACCATCCCGCGGTGTGAGTGCTCCATGCCGGATGTGCTGTTCTCACAGCGCTCGGTTCGCAAAGCACTCCTCTCCCTGGACATCCAGAAGTCGAGTGGGCGTTACGGAATCCCCCCGAATGGGCTGAGGACTTGTGCTCCGGAGTTGGCACCGGTTCTAACGCGTATTTTCCGGTACTCCTACTCCCAAGGCGTAGTCCCGAATTCATGGAAGACAGCTTTTGTCCACCCGATCCCTAAAAAAGGCGACCACTCAGACCCATCCAACTATAGGCCTATCGCGACCACTTCCTTGTTCTCAAAATAATGGAATCCATTATTAACTGCCAGCTCATGCGATACCTTGAGGATCACCAGCTGATTAGTGACCGCCAAGATGGTTTTCGTCGGGGTCGATCAGCTGATCTTCTGGTCTACCTGACCCATAAATGGGAGGAGGCAGTAAAGTTCAAGGGGGAGGCGTTGGCCGTTAGTTTGGACAATGCGAAGGCCTTCGATCGGATTTGGCACAAAGCGCTTCTTTCGAAGCTCCCTTCCTATGGGCTTCCCGAGAAATTGTGCAATTGGATCACCAGCTTCCTTGCAGATCGGAGCATTAAGGTCGTTGTAGACGGTGCATGCTCCGACTACAAGCCTATTAACGCTGGTGCACACAAGGCTGTGTGCTATCGCCAACGCTGTTTCTTCTGCATATCAATGATATGTTGCTAACTGGTAACATTCATTGCTATGCGGGTGACAGCATTGGTGATGCTGTATACACTGGCCGTGCCAATATTTCTCGGGAAAACGTCGCCGCGTACCGGAATAAACTTTTGTCTCAAGTCGAGTCTTTGCTGAACAAAGTCTCGGATTGGGGGCGACTAAATCTAGTCCAGTTTAATCCTCAGAAGACACAAGTTTGCGCGTTTACCGCTAAAAAGAACCCCTTTGTCGTATCTCCTCAGTTTCAAGGCACTCCCCTTATTGCCTCAGCCAGTATCGGAATCCTCGGAGTCGACATATCGAGTGACGTGCAGTTTCATGGTCATTTAGAAGAGAAGGCCAAATTGGCCTCTAAAAAGCTTGGCGTGCTCAGCAGAGCGGGACAGTATTTCATGCCGGCACATCGCCTGCAACTTTACAAGGCGCCTCACATGGAATACTGTTCCAATCTCTGGGCAGGGACTCCCCAGTGCCAGCTCCTTCCACTTGAACGCATCCAGCGCAGAGCGGCTCGAATCGTCGACGACCGAGTCCTTTCCGATCGGCTCGATTCATTGGCACTGCGAAGAGATGTTGCATCCCTTTGCATTTTCTTTCGCATCTACCATGGGGAGTGCTCTGAGGAATTGTTCGGATTAATCCCAGCTGCCAAATTTCACGAACGCACATCGCGGCAGAACTCCCGATACCATCCACACCATCTGGATGATTGGCGGTCCACCACTGTGCGACTTAGAAGATGTTTTCTTCCTCGCACGACTTCCTTGTGGAATCGATTACCATCAGCGATTTTTCCGGACCGATACGACTTAGGGATCTTCAAGAAAAGAGCGTACTCCTTTTTAAAAGACGGCAACGCATCTGCAATTCCTTCCCTGGTGTTGCAGTTGTTCATAGGCGGCGGTATTCACTTACCATCAGGTGAGCCGCATGCTCGTTTGCCCCCTCTCCTATAAAAAAAAGCCGAAGATGACCAGGTGTACTGGCTTAATTTGCGTTGAAGACATTTACAGTTTCCCAAATAAATAATACTGATGCCAACTGTTGCTTTTCTGCAAAAATATGTAAGAAGATGGTACGTACACAAATGAACTCTAAGACATAAAAGGAAACTTACCACTTACTAGTATGTACGTGACAGGACTTGAAACAGCTTGTTCAATGGCTTTGTGAATTTTCTGGATGATTTTGCCTATTTCTGCAGTGAAATATCTACGTGATCTGCTGTGTTCCAGTTCGAACGGAATAAAAGAGGCAGAGTATAATAAGAGGCTGTGAGGCATTCCGTCTTAGCCCTCAGGGGTGACAATGCATCTGTAGCACTTGTCCATGAGTTGCAGTAGCCACTTACCAACAGGATAAAACTAGATTCATTGGCGCTGCGAAGAGATGTAGCATCCCTTTGCATTTTCTTTCGCGTCTACCACGGGGAGTGCTCTGAGGAATTGTTCGGATTAATCCCAGCCGCCAAATTTCACAAACGCACATCGCGGCAGAACTCCCGATACCATCTACACCATCTGGATGATTGGCGGTCCACCACTATGCGATTTAGAAGATGTTTCTCCCTCGGACAATTTCCCTGTGGAATCGATTACCACCAGCGATTTTTCTGAACCAATACGACTTAGGGACCTTTAAGAAAAGGGCTTACTCCTTTTTAAAAGGCCGGCAACGCATCTGCAATTCCCCTGATTCGCCTGGGGTTGCATTTTTTTTATGGGCGGCGGTAGTCACCATCAGGTGAGCCGCATGCCCATTTGCCCCCTCTCCTATAAAAAAAGGATCTTAATCCACGGAGATGACGATACATTGTGACACATGTTCATAGGCTGCAGTGGCTACTGGCCACTTACTAATAGGATTTTAGTACTTAGAGGTGACGACGCTTCTGTAACATCTGTTCATGGGCTGCAGTGGTTACACATCAGCAGGATAGTCTTCACATAGACGACGCATTGTGGCACGTGTCCGCAGTCAGTTTTTTTTAAATATAATATGGGTGACAAAGGAGTGAGATGAACATAAAGTGGGTTCTGTGGCTTATAGACGTTATTTATCTTCAATTAAGAATCAAGATGCAGATGCGTTGTCACCTCTGTGGACTAAGATGTAATACCTCGTGTCCATTAAAAAGGGTCTCTGGTTCTCTACACTCAGCATAGGAAACATAGCAGCATTAAGCCGCTATTTTACGCTGGTTTTCTGTGAGCGCGTGGCCCCACTCCGGTGGAGCCGAGTCATCCGTGCTACATGTATAATGTTATATATTGGCGTGCACAGGCTGGAGAGCCACCCGGCGTGCCAGAGCCTGTCGCTGCACTCGTTCCTGCTGCTGCCCATGCAGCGCGTGACGCGGCTGCCGCTGCTGCTGGACGCCGTGCTGCGCTCGCTGCAGCCCGCCGATCGCGAGCACGACGCCTGCGTGCTGGCGCTCGCCACGCTCAACCACGTACGCTACACCCACTCCCCTCACTATGCAAAAATTTTATTAATTTTTAATTCTTTTGTTTGCTTGAAATTGATATTAATTTTTCAACAGATTATCTCATTGGAGGGATTTTTTTTAATATATTCAGTTGTTTTCAGCAAGGTGCTACTGTTCCTGTTTCCTTTGTTGCCTCTTATTACACCCACTGGCCGATATGGGGTAGTGGATATTCTTACAGCACCTCACTACAGGGAAATTAATTTAATTATTTGTTTTTCTTACAGTTCGTGTCGCAGTGTAACGAGGGAGCGCGCAATACCGAGCGTATTGAAGAGATGTTCCGACTGGCCAAAGCGATCGAGTTCCCGCCACAAGTTCGCGATCCACCTTTATTAGGACCCGCCTGCTCGCGGAGAGATCGCAAGTACGTATCTATCCATACCTTATACATATATTTATTATAAATGTGTGTGTGTGTGTATTACTATGCGTTTATAAATATTTATGTATGACTGTGGTTACTTTAAACATGAGTGCACTCTATTCTCTCACTCTTATTGTTCGATGGGACAGCAATCTGTCACCACCGTAGTAAACAGCTTAGGACCAACGGCTTTTCGTGCTTTCCGAAGTACGTTGCTGAAACATCGCCAACTTCCTGATTCCTGACTGCTACTGAGAATTTCATGACAGAAATAGCCGACTTCTGGCCCGACCAAGGAATTGAACTTGGAACCACATGATCAGTAGTCAGACTCACGATCACATGACCAACAAGGCAGTCAATCAAATCAAAAAAGTAAATAGTTATCTTTATATACCATAGAGCAACACGGGCCAGCGGCGGACTTGAGGGGAGTAGCCGTAGCGTTTTTCTCCGATACAGAACTATCTGTATTTTTTTGCGCGGGTAAATCTGTGCAAACAAAAGCAATCGTCTCTCACAACGAAACTTACACATAACAATTAAAACAATAAACTAACAATTTCACACACACATAGATACATTAAAACAGTAATGCTCGCTCGACCGATTTGCATATTAACTGAGGGCGAGCGGCCCGTGTTAGTAAACAAATCTGAAACAACACGACGGTTATTATTGTCATTTTTAAGTTTGTCAGAGATTCAACAGAGGATCCCAATTTTTTTATCTCAGTAACATCAGGAAACCTTAATTGTTAAAATAATAAAAGTGTGAGAGCGGATGTTCAACTTGCTCTCTTGCTTACGCAATTAATCATTATCAGTAATAAGACAGCGCAACGCACTATACATTCAGTATAGAGCAATTACAGTTCGACCACACCGTAAAACGTCCCCGCCACAATCACACACCAGTGTAACGTGAGGTATGTAATTACATGATAACACCAAAGTATGCAAACCAACAGCAACTCTACTTATCTCAGTGTAACACGGGGCAGCCTCTCAGCAACACCATCCTCCTTGCCTGCACTGGAATAATTTCTACAACGAACAGAACCACGACACTATCTTAGCACTCGTGGAATGACCTCACTCTTAGAATGACTGAAGCGGAATCTCCCACGCACGGCACCTACAGTGAACTTTATACTGCACAAACAAGTGGGGATTTCTCGATATACCCTCAATTCCACCTCGATCCAACCGGGTATTTTATAGAGCACAAATTCCATCCACGTGCCGGAGTATGTGTGTACGTCCGCAATGACATCTGCTTCCAGCGTCTCTGTCACCTTGAAGATCCCACTTTTTCGACAATCTGGGTGATGGTAAACACAGGTATTAATAAAACCCTTTACGCTATGTCTATTGATCGCACAGCGGTGACCAGGAGACAACACAATTATTTGATCACCTTAGTGAGGCTGCTGACGTGGCCCTAAATCAGTATCCTACTACACAGTTGGTCTTTCTGGGGGACTTTAATGCTTGTCACCAAGACTGGCTGTTCCCATACCAAAAGACCGACAATGCTGGAAGAGAAGCGGGGAGTTTTGCTTTGACGCTAGGTCTTTCTCAGATGGTAAAAGTGGCGATTAGGGTACCCGATGTAGACGGTCACACAGCAAATTGCTTAAACTTTCTGCTGACCACCGAACCAGACAGATATGAAGTACAGGTTACTTCTCCTTTGGGTACATCTGACCACTGTCTGGTGAAATCTGTATCGTCATATTCTCCACCTGATTACGAGCCCCAAGGTGTTCGACTAATATGGCGGTATAAGTCAGCTGATTGGGACGAGATGCGACACTTTTTTGCATCCTATCCTTGGCGAGAGGTCTGTTTCTCTTCTGCGGATCCGTCGAACTGCGCGGTTGCGATAACGGATGTGTTGTGTCAAGCTATGGAGTATTTTATCCCCTTCTCTGACGCTCCTACCGGTAGCAAAGCTCGTCCATGGTTTAACGCTGAATGCGCGGAAGCTGAAAAGCGCAAGCATTTAGCGTTCTTATCCTGGGTTGACGCCCGAAATCGCAAAGCTCCGGATATTAGCTCTAAGAAGAAAACTTTGAACCAGACCGCCCAGTCCTACAAAAAAGCATTACGGAAAGCTAGTCTCGATCACATTAAACATATTGGCGGAAAACTCTCTGCCAGACCATCCGGCACTAGAGCTTTTTTGTCTCTCGCCAAAGCGGTAGAGACAAACTTCTGTTGGCCTACACTGCCTCCGCTGGTAAAACCGGATGGCACATTGGTGCATAAAGCTAATGAGAAAGCGGACTTATTCGCCCCTCTCTTTGCCTACAATTCACGTCTGGACAGTGGCAACAACGTTCCACCAAAATTACCTCACTGCGGGACCTCTATGTCGGAGATTCGTATAACAAATAAGGAGGTTCTTAAAACTTTGCGGTGTCTAGACTTGAATAAAGCTAGTGCACCAGATAGTATACCAGCTATAGTTCTAAAGGCTTGTGCACCTGAGTTGTCTCCTATGTTGACGCGCTTGTTCCGCCTCTCATTTAGAGTCCTAAACTGAAATAGTGCCAAAATGCTGGAAGCTGGCCAACGTGCAGCCTGTTCCAAAAATAGGCAGCCGTGCCGACCCTGCCAATTATCGGTCAATCTCAATTACCTCCATACTCTGCAAGATTATGGAGCGTATATTGAATACCCGCTTAATGGCATACCTAGAATAGAATGACCTCCTTAGTGACCGGCAATTTGGGTTTCGCCGAAATCGGTCAGCTGGGGACCTTCTAGCATATGCCACACACGTATGGGGCGAGGCACTCGAGAACAGTGGGGAAGCACTTGCTGTTTCGCTTTATGTCTCGAAAGCCTTTGACAGAGTTTGGCACACTAGCCTTTTGGGTAAGCTTCCAGCGTGTGGCTTATCCCCTGGTCTGATTGAATGGGTAAAGGACTTTCTGAGTGAACGGTCTCTCCGGGTCGTCTTCGATGGCTGATCATCCGATCCTATGGCGACTAACGCCGGTGTTGCTCTGGGGTCCATTCTCTCCGCAACTCTCTTCCTACTGCATATGAATGATCTGCTTATGCCCGGTATCTATAGGTATGCAGACGATAGCACAATTTTTGAGAGATACCAACCAAGTCCTCGGGCCAGTCGGGACCAAATGCAGTCCGAAAGAGAAGCTATGGTAGAGCGTGTGAATCTCACACTACAGGCAGTCCCCGAATGGGGCGATGCGAATCTTGTGATGTTCAACGCCTCCAAAACACAAGCGTTTCTCTTCAGTGCAAAAAGGGACCAGCTCACCTTGGCTCCTACTTACCGAAATGTATCACTAAAATATACCGACCGCCTGCAGTTGTTAGGGCTTGACATATCCTCAAATTTGAACTTTCGGGCGGTTCATTGAGTCCAAGGCAAGACAGCTGCAAGAAAGCTGGGAGTCCTTGTAAAAGTGCGGCGATACTTCACGCCGGGACAGCTGCTTACTTTATATAAAGCGCAAGTCCGGTCGTGTATGGAGTATTGCTGCCATATATGGGCTGATGCTGCAAAATGCCACCTAGCAGCTTTGGACTCAATGGAAAGGCGTACTAAGAGGCTTATTGGTGACCCGAATTCGGTTAAAACCAATCTTACCAGCCTCGAACACAGACGTAAAGTAGCCAGCCTTTCGGTTATCTACGGGATGGTTTCGGAGAGTGTGCGCAGGAATTGCATAATTCAATTCCTCCCTCTCCCTTCCACCATCGGACAACCAGACGTTCGGCCAGTCTCCACCCTTTCGTTGTTGACTTACCACGCATTCGAACCAAACGGTTCGCCACATCGTTCATCATGCGTACAGCAAAGGAGTGGAATAAGTTGCCAGCATCTGTCTTTCCATCTGATTACAGTGTGGGTATCTTCAAGGCAAGAATGAATAGGCTTTTTTTAAGTCAGTGCGCTTCACCATCTTAGGCTACATCACCACTTACCATCAGGTGAGATCGTAGATAAGCGGTGGCTTAGTAGAATATTAAAAAAATAGCAAAATGTGGTCAAAAGTTATTTATATATGAAAGGTAACGCAATCGTTTTGTAAATTTAACATGGCAGATATCTTTATGCAGCAAAAAACTGAACAATTCGGCATTTTTGTAGTACGTCGGTTCAACCGTGCAACTAGCTTTAGTCTAGTGAGTAGTGCGGCTACAGGTAGTTTTATTGTACGCATAGGACCGCGTCGACTTATACTTTGACAGAGGAGAACGCCAGCGTATGGCTACTCCCATAAACACGGACCACCGGTGGATCACCGGTGGTCCGTGTTTTTTTTTTCTTTTATAGGATAAGGGTGACAAACGAACAGACAGTCCATCTGATGGTAAGTGGTTGCTGTGGCCCATAGACATCTACATTTATCCTCGATTACGAATCAAAATGTAGATGCGTTGTCAGCCGTGAGGAATAAGATGGAATGCTTAGTTTCCAGTAAAAAGGGTCTCTGGTTCTCTACACACACCATACGAAACACAGCAGCATTAAGCTGCTATTTTACGTTGGTAATCTGTGAGAGCGTGGTCCTTCCGGTCGAGCCGACCCATTCATGTTACACCTATACCAGAAATATAGCTGCAGTTACTCTATGTTATACGAGTATAGTAGCTAGCTCGACGGACGTTGTTCTGCTGTCTTTTCAGGCTTTTGTTTCGCGTACACTTCGTATTTTTTTACAGTGTAAATATAAAATTTATCCATAATTCAACCACAGCGCCACCTATCGGATTCCAGCTTTGCTAAGAACCATCGCCTCAACAAAACAAATATTATTGAGTGTTAATATGCACTATCGATATGTTAAATGTCGTTCAGAAGTTACACGATCACTTACGGACGCACCAATGATTATAATATTTAAAATAGATACATTCGTTTGCTTGTCTGCTACCGCTACGGTACCGTCCTCCCCATAGATTACCTCATAGGGGTGATATTTGTCATAGTTGTCACGCTTAGCAGGCGGGTTTGCAACCGCATTTTTTTGTTGTTCTTTTTTCGTTTTCCTTTTTTTTTGTTTGCAACTTCAGTAGTGATTACATGGTCCAACCATGACGTAGTTCCATAAGCGTTGCTAAGGAATGTATATGTACCTGAATCTAGCCCCAAACATTCTATGACTGCACAAGTCCAACTTTGTTCTGTACATAACTTCAAAAGCTCATCGCCAAACAAAACATCTGGATCAGCGTTGAAATCGCCTGGGTTGTACACTGTATCAATACTAAACGTCTATGATAGCACTAATCTCACCGAGGCAGGCTATTACCTGGTTTGTTTACCTCTGATACCTCTTACGAGACCCACGGAACGATGTAGTGGATATTCTTATGGCCGCATAATAGTGGATATTCTTTCACTGCCACTACACGGTCAATCGACTTGTCTGTTTTTTCTTTTTTTTTAAAAACGTTACTCCCACACTAGGATATTCTACTCTAGTTAGAGGTAGTATACGGAACAATTATTTGTAGGTTACGTGTGCGATTTGAACTCGCGGCGTTCAGTGCCGCAACTCATTGCTAAGTCTCTGTGCCACGAAGCTGATCGTACACCTTCTAACCACCACTTTACCAATAATAAGTTTTTCATATTACCATTAATTTAACATTTACAGACCGGTTAGATGGCTGGTACGGTCCGGCGAAGTAACACATCTGATATGGAAAGCAGACGAACTGAAGCTGACATTCGGCAAGAAGTTCCACAAGGTGCAGCTGTATCTCTTCCTGTTCAACGATCTGCTCGTCATCACTAAAAAGAAAGGGTTCGTATATTCCCTTACTACGTTATATTTGTAGAACTTTTGGTACAGAATACTTTTGTACACCAATTTCGATAATGCTAAAATACATTTAAGCTGGTTTCCGTTTCCATTTCCAGCAGGCCTATCCGCTTGCTTCGTTGACATCAAAATAAGAATAATAATAATGTTTACGTACTAGGGACGACCTGTATGACTAATAATCAGACTCTCGTCCTATAACAATAAAATGTTCGCGTCTTTTCCGATACTCCTACTCCCAAGGCGTAGTCCCGAATTCATGGAAGACAGCTTTGGTCCACCCGATCCCTAAAAAAGGCGATCCGCTCAAACCCGTCCAACTACAGGCCTATTGCCATCACCTCCTTGTTCTCCAAAATAATGGAATCCATTATAAACTTCCAGCTCATGAGGTACCTTGAGGATCACCAGCTGATTAGTGACCGCCAGTACGGTTTTCGTCGAGGTCGATCAGCTGGTGATCTTCTAGTCTATCTGACTCATAGATAGGCGGAGGCAGTAGAGTCCAAGGGGGAGGCATTGGCCGTTAGTTTCGACATAGCGAAGGCCTTCGATCGGGTCTGGCACAAAGCGCTTCTTTCGAAGCTTCCTTCCTATGGGCTTCCCGAGAAATTGTGCAAATGGATCACCAGTTTCCTTGCTGGTCGGAGCATCAAGGTCGTAGTAGACGGTGCATGCTCTGATTTCAAGCCTATCAACGCTGGTGTTCCACAAGGCTGCGTGCTATCACCAACGCTGTTTCTCCTGCATATCAATGATATGTTGGTAACTAGTAGCATTCATTGCTATGCAGACGACAGCACTGGTGATGCCTTATACACCGGCCGTGCCAATATTTCTCGGGAAAACGTCGCTGAGTACCGAGACAAACTTGTGTCTGAAGTCGAGTCTTTGCTTAACAAAGTCTCGGATTGGGGCCGACTAAATCTAGTCCAGTTCAATCCCCAGAAGACACAAGTTTGCGCGTTTACCGCTAATAAGAACCCCTTTGTCGTATCTCCTCAGTTTCAAGGCACTCCCCTTGCTGCCTCAGCTAGTATCGGAATCCTTGGCGTCGACATATCGAATAGTGTGCAGTTTCATGGTCACTTGGAAGGGAAGGCCAAATTGGCCTCTAAAAAGCTTGGCGTGTTCAGCAGAGCGAGACAGTATTTCATGCCGGCACATCGCTTTTTTTACAAAGCGCAAGTTCGGCCCCACATGGAATACTGTTCTCATCTCTGGGCCGGGGCACCCCAGTGCCAGCTCCTTCCACTTGATCGCATCCAGCGCAGAGCTGTTTGAATCGTCGACGACCGAGTTCTTTCTGATCGGCTCGATACACTGGCACTGCGTAGAGATGTTGCATCTCTTTGCGTATTTTATCGCATCTATCACGGGAAGTGCTCTGAGGAATTGTTCGGACTAATTCCAGCCGCTCAATTTCACCATCGCACATCGCGACAAAACTCGCGTTACCATCCATACCATCTGGATGATTGGCGGTCCACCACTGTGCGATTTAGAAGAAGTTTTCTCCCTCGCACAACTTCCTTGTGGAATCAATTACCACCAGCGAATTTTCCGGACCGATACGATTTAGGAACCTTCAAGAAAAGAGCTTACACCTTTCTAAAAGGCCGGCAACGCATCTGCATTTCCCCTGGTGTTGCGGTTGTTCATTGGTGGCGGTAGTCACTTACCATCAGGTGAGCCGCATGCTCGTTTGCCCCTTCTTCTATAAAAAAATGTTAAAAAAATTAACATTTAAAATGATATTATTTTCTCCATGCAGTTTGGGTCTCTCTCCCATTCACGGGCCATAGGGGCGAGCATAGTGATGCGGATTATTGTTGTCGATAGATGTTATCGATTGTGTATTTAGTTTTGTCATTATGTGGGTTAGTGATAAAAATAAAAAAAATAGATAAAACAACGTATTTATTAAAATAAGAATAATAATGATTTAAAATAAATTATTAATTAGGTATTTTATGTCTAGGTATTATATTAAAAAAAACTATAAGCACAAATATTTGGAATGTAACAAGTTATATTAAAAATAAATATAAAAGTAAAAATCATTTACATTATTATGTAAATATTATAATTAATAAATATTTATTAAATAAATATAAAAATCATTTGTTGTTATCGATAATGCCGTTGCGCCCGCGCAACATGCTTACGCCCTAGCCGGGCTGAGGCCGAACTATGATTTATGACCCCAACTGCACGGAGAAAATAATTTTACTATAGTAATACGTATGATATATAAGAGTTAACGGCTCATATAATATACGACGCAATGTACTACAAAGTGATTATCTTTTTAACTAAGTTAGTAAATAGGCCTACAGGGCTGGATATTGGCCTTTCATATAGTATGACAGTAAAGAATCTTTCTAGATAGGTGATTATGCCGCATTTAATTTCTTAAGTGAAGCGGCTTACAGTACTTACGGGATGGGATGGGGTTATAGATTCTCTTGTCAGCTTTTTTCTTTGTTTTTCTTGTTCTTTTTTTTTTTGAATGTAGATCTCTCCTGTTATAGCGAGATTTTGCCATAATCGTCACGCTTGACAGAGAAGAAATGTCCCACCTATGATGCCATCCTTTGTCACAAATGTGGATAGATATCGTCTTATTTGACTGTACATAACTTCTTTGTATTTTTTTTAAATCATAAAATGTAAATCTGCGCGCCTTTTCTACAAGAATTGTTTTTTTTTTTAGTATTGCGTGACAAACGAGTATACAGTCCACCTAACGGTAAGTGGATACTGTGGCCCATAGACAAATACATTTATCCTCAATTATAAGAATCAAAATGTAGATACGTTGTCACCCCTGAGGACTAAGATGGAATACCTCGTTTTTAGTAAAAAGGGTCTCTACATTCACCATATGAAATACAGCAGCATTATGGTGCTATTTTACGCTGGTATTTTGTGAGAGTGTGGTCCTACCCCAGTCGAGCTACAGCGTATAGCAATGGTTGCATTAGAATTTCCACTTGCCCTTATCATCCCGTGAGTATCGTAATAGGTGACACAGGGAAACAAATCAGGAGATGGGCAGCAGCGTCTTCCTAATAACGATTAAAAATAAAAAAACTGCGGTCGCTGACCCGCTTGCCAAGTGTGGCAACTACGGTAAATATCCCCCTCCCCCTCTATGAGGTAAACTATGGAGAAGCCTGTTTAGCAGTGGACTTTAATAGGCTGTAACAGCAAGTGTAAAGTTTGCGTTGTGGCGCAGGGAGGAATCGTTCATGGCGGTGGATTGGTGTGCGCGCTCGCTGCTGGAGACTTGCGGCGGCGAGGCGGCGCCGCCGGCCGCCAAGCACGCCATGCTGCTCACGCTGCTCGAGAACCGCGACGCGCGCACCGTCGAGATGGTGAGCCACACTCCTACAACTCATCACACATACGTACTCGTACAACTACTACGTGACCAAAACGATTAGGCGCGTGACAGCTAAGACGTCATTAAAAATAGGGAGGGCACACTGGAACGGTCATTAATGATTAGGTGATGCGCGAGGATAGAGGCGAGGTGCGGGCGCCGAAACCGCTTTCCTGTCATGCCCTTGATTGTTTTGGCGAAGTTTGTCATTTACAATACCCATCCACACATTCAAAATAAATCTGCGCTGTAACGCTGTTTCTTTAAGTTTTTTTGGAGTTTGTCCACTTTCAGTGCCCAGTTACGAAAATTATGGTAGTTGGTAATACCGTCTCGGTCAAATTTGAGCTCATCCGTCCATAGACTGTTTTTTTTTAATTTCTTCGTCTGCATCGGCGTTCAGTATGAAACAACAAAACTGGAGTTTACTCGCTAAATCGCCCTCGTACGGCGTTTGTACCGGTTGGTAATGGTACGAATATCGACCTGACAGGTGCATTACCGACCATACCTTCCACTGGGACATACCAAGCCGGCATGCTACAAAGTTTGTTGAGACATTAGGGTCGCCAATAGAATGTTGCATAATTGTTTCTTCATCATCAGCCCTAAAACGTCGTGGTCTGCCGGTATCCACTTGATTTTTATGAATAGTGCCGCTTTCACTTAATCGTCGATAGGTAGCTTCGAAAACAGAAATGTGGGGAAGCCGGCGATCAGGAAAGTAACGTTGATATTCTCTACGAGTCTCAGCAACGTTGCCGTCAGCAAAAACATAACAATAGATGATGTGGGCATATTCTTTATTAGAATATGACGCCATTTTAACTTCGGCGCACAAAAACAGTAATAATGAATAGTCAGTAACAGAAAAATGGTAACAGCAATAATAACGATAACGATAGCGACTGAAAACAATAACAAATTAATTAACGCGTTGAGAGTTTATTAAAAGGAAGTTTAAACACGTGCTTGTGCAGCGATAGTAAAAAGTAACTAACGATTAACGAGCGTCGCAACGACTTAATTTAAAATGGCGGTTTGCTTTCTGAATAGTTGTCAATAACCAATCAGACGCCAAGTGACTAAATGTGTGCAAGTTTGTTCGTAAGAGCAATCATTGTTTTCAGTTCTCTGCCTGCGTTAAGTAAAAGACCCTTTTATTATTATTATTCATTGATTTCACCGGGATATTATTAAGTATATTATAGAATATATAGTAAGTAGGTACTGAGTTGACGTCACACCTTATAGTGGTCACAGTGTACGGGAACATAGCAGTTATGTACTGTTACCGCAGCTCTTGTGATGTGCGAGCGGGACGGAGGTGCAAAGCCTGACATGTTATGTACTGCAGCTGGTGTCGTGCGCGAGCGAGACGGAGGCGCGGCGCTGGGGCGAGGCGCTGGCGCCGCCGCGGGCGCGCGCGGGCGAGGCGGTGTACGCGGGCTGGGACTGCCCGCAGGTGGCCGCGCTACACGCCTACGCGCCCGCGCAGCCCGACGAGCTGCCGCTCGCCGAGGGCGACATCGTCAACGTCACGCGCAAGACCAGCGAGGGTGAGCGCAACACGCACACTACACATACATATTCAAACAAACACTTCTGTCTATACTATTCGCGGTGCGCGTCTCGTCAAATCGTCGCTCATATTGTGAACGATACACACGACACAACATAATCATAAACACTCACGCCCTTTTCATCCATATGGATATTCCTACGCATACATGCTCGTCGGTTGAGGGTAAGCTTAATCTGACCTACCCTCGATATATCGCTAATTTGGGCCCCAAAATTTCGTCTAGTGAGTCCCTTGCCGACTCTACCGTTCACTTCTGCAACATAAATCTGCTTTGTCACTCTTCCCTCGTTCATTCTTTTTACATGACCAAACCACCGAGGCATTCACTTCTTATAGTCCAGATTACAAGGTCATCTTGCAATACACATTTTCTCTTATCACACAATTCCCCACCCTGTCATATTCAGATTTAGCCTAACACACCTTAACGGATTCGTTGCGGCACCGATTTTCAACAACTTTTAGTTGTGGCGGCGAGCAAATATGACACGCCTGGCGTGTCGAGCGCCACAAACATGTATAAAAGTAATGTTCTTTTTTATGCTTTTTCTACTTGTTTAGACCTAATTAAATTTAGTTGACATCAAACATAAGCTACAAACGGAAGGTTACTTGTTTTTAGTGGGTAACTACGTGTTTTCTTTGAAATTGAAAGTAAGTGACTTTTTTTACGCAGAGATTACAAACCTTTTGTACTATTTTTTGTTTTATAAAAAAAAAATCGTTTATATAAGTAGGTACAGCTAAACCACCCTGGAAACCTTGGTTTTTATTAAATTAAATTTTCACCTAATAATAACATTTGTAAATATCAAACAATGAAGAACTTTAATTTGGAAAAAAATAAGGTTTTCGGTTTGCTAAATATTATTTAATGTTATACAAATATAAAAGTAAAGTCGATCTGAAAACGTCTAATTAGTAAGAATAGCAAAACAGGTGTTTTCAAAAGGAAAAAACGCCGGCGCTATACAGCGGCGGTTTGACAAATGACTATTTATTAGCGAACTTTTTTTTCTGCATGAACGGTTTCGAACTATTTCAAGCAAAAATAAATCTTATACCATATCACAAGAGCACATTGTACTTCGTAGGTCTATTCGGCCATATGATAGTAATAAGACGGCAGTTCAACCGTTTTAAGCAAAATTAAACAATAAAACAAACGCATTGTTTTTTTTTAACAGGAGACTTGTTTTCCAGAAATTTATTTACAACTTGAGTTTGTGAGCGATCGCAATGAGTGCTATTATTTGTTACTTATTAGACAATTTTTCCATTACATGATTTAAAACCCACAAAGTAAAAATAGTACAATGTACACGTTAAAAAAAGGTTGTCAACCCCTAAAAATTTCAAATTTTCAAAATATCCAGAAACGAAGCTGCAGGCATGAACTACTTGCAAAATAATGAATATTTTGTTCTGGATAAATCTTCCAAAAAAGCAATTTGAGCGAGTTATAACGATTTTTAAAAAGACACGATTCGCGTGTCATACGCCACACACAAAAGTAATCGATGGCACGACTGGCGTGCCACCCGCACTGAACCGGTTAATGATCTTTACGACCGCATTTCTACAACACCATACAATACAATATACAAGTTATATTGTGTAGTGTGTGTGTATACCTACTTACTGTAATATAGGAAAGGTGTCCATGAAAGGGGGACGTTGTTCCTTCTATGACTTTAATCGTGTAAATATACTACGTAAATCATAAGTCGTATGGACTACAACACTATACACAAAAGCGGCAATTCAGAACAAAACCTGTGTCATAAGTTATGACTCATAACTGTTCACGCAAGCGCCCACGCCCGTGTAGCTATAGTGCCCGCGTTATCAACTGCAAATCATTCTAATTACTCTATCTCGCTCGCACTCTTGAGCGTGTTTATTGGGCTTATGGAGCGCCATAATGATTTACGTAACAACAGGTAGTCGATATCGATAAGATTTAATGAATGGATTTAAAGGGATTGAAATTATGAAATTATAAAATAACACAATAAAATAAATAAAATATAATCTACATTTATAAGCAGGATTTTACCATGGCCGTTTCCAACGACATCCATAAAATAAAATAGTGTCATGGATTGCCCTACTCCGATACCACACGGCCGATAATTTAAGCACTTATCCTTATCCGAGTATAACAACACTAGCTATTTTTAATATTTACAATAGTGTGACAATACATTGGCAATTTGTTGCGTAGGTTGGTACTACGGCGAACGAACGCGGGACGGCGAAGCGGGCTGGTTCCCGGGCTCGTACACTGTGGAGATCGCGTCGGCGCACGTGCGAGCGCGCAACTTGCGCCAGCGCTACCGCCTGCTCGCGCTCTCCGGCACCTACCTCGGCAACAGGAAGCGCGCCGCGTGACCACCTGACCACGTGACCACACGACCGCGCGCAACTTGCGCCAGCGCTACCGCCTGCTCGCGCTCTCCGGCACCTACCTCGGCAACAGGAAGCGCGCCGCGTGACCACCTGACCACGTGACCACACGACCGCGCGCAACTTGCGCCAGCGCTACCGCCTGCTCGCGCTCTCCGGCACCTACCTCGGCAACAGGAAGCGCGCCGCGTGACCACCTGACCACGTGACCACACGACCGCGCGCAACTTGCGCCAGCGCTACCGCCTGCTCGCGCTCTCCGGCACCTACCTCGGCAACAGGAAGCGCGCCGCGTGACCACCTGACCACGTGACCACACGACCGCGCGCAACTTGCGCCAGCGCTACCGCCTGCTCGCGCTCTCCGGCACCTACCTCGGCAACAGGAAGCGCGCCGCGTGACCACCTGACCACGTGACCACACGACCGCGCGCAACTTGCGCCAGCGCTACCGCCTGCTCGCGCTCTCCGGCACCTACCTCGGCAACAGGAAGCGCGCCGCGTGACCATATGACCACACGACTACGCGTGCAATTGGCGCCAGCGCTACCGCCTGCTCCCGCTTTACAACAAGTACGAGTACTCCTCGGACACGGGAAGCGTGCCGCGTGCCCACATGACCAACTTGACCTCGTAGTGCAATTGGCGCCGGAGCTAATTCGCGCTCCCATTCTCTGACATGTACCACAGGAAGTGTGCTGCGTGACTACGTGACCATACGGCCACACGACTGCGAGTGCAATTGGCGCCAGCGCTACTGCTTGCTCCCGCTCTCATGCATGTACTCTTCGGACACAGGTAGCGCTCGGACACCAATCGGATCATTTCAACACATCACATTTGATCGAGATCAAAATATAATACATATTTACTTGTGGATTGAGATCTATTACATTAATTAGAAGATAAAACGAAATAATGCGCGTTCGTTAAAAGTTTTGGGACCAAATATTAACGTAAATATATTTTGCTACTTTGTCACTAAAAACAATTAGGAAGTTCGAAATAATATTCCATAAATTATTGTGACACAGGTTTCATACAATAAAGTAATATAAAATAGTAATAATATATGACTAACTTTATACGGTGTTTTATCGTACCTACACGAAAATCAATCAAATTCACTAGTTTTGATAAAGAAATTTTAATTTATTTTAATAATTTTACACATGATGTAAATAAATATTTTCTTACTAAGCGAAGTTCGATTGGATTTTTAAACTATGCCTACAAAAACTCTGTTGTTCTTGCATATCCAACATTTAAAATAATATAACTTATTTTGTTTCAAAATTTGCCTTTTTAATCTTGACATAAGAACAATATTACCTATTTTAAAATACTCGTGACTGAGTTTTCATTTATTGTATGTTAAACCTCGACATCTTGTATAAAACCTAGATTATTTTTCTCTAGCACTCAAATACATGATAAGAAATGTGACTGCGTCATTACAGCTGAGTATCATTTTAGAACTCTTGCATTTTATCTGTAACTTAAATGCTAAGTCTAGAGTATAGCTGTATATCCGTCCAAGCACTGCCCCATCGCTACAAATGTGTAGGGCCTCATTATTATAAATACTAACAGTGTCTTTAATGGGATATATAAGTATAGTAATTAACTAAATAATGGGTGGCACCGGAAAACTGTGAATAATATTTTGGTGCTTATTTATTAATTAATTAAACGTTAGGTTGAAACAAACAATTCGCTAGTTTTTGTTTTGTTATACTTATCTTATAATAATTATCATTTGTATGTTTTACAAGTCAAAAGTGCATATATCTATATAAAAATTAAATATGTGTTACTCTGTGTGGATCACATTCATCATTAGTAAATAGTGTGTTATTTTTTAATGATTTTATAGATTTTAATCTATCTATGTAGAATATTTTGTGAAATGTACAGTTACATTTGAGATTCACAGCAATTCATTGTACAGTATACCTACTATTAATAATATCCATACAGTAGTCTTAGTCCATACGTTATACGTTATTTTTCTAAGCAAATAGTTTTACTTGCCCGCTACAAAAATTACCTAGTCAATGAGCGGATAAGTAACAAATCGAAATTTTCATTATAATATTTATAAATTGATCCGATTTTTAATTTTATGGTTTTAACATTCCTTAATGATATTATGTTTTAATTTTAGCAATAATAAATAATAATAATGACCGATGTTTTGTTTACTATTGTATTAAGGACGCAATAATAAAATTATTTTACAAAAATTATACGTAATTTTTTTGATAACATATCCTTTTTTATTTTAATCTTCAATGATAACCTACCTTTTACAATTATGTTTTAACGATTAAGATTTCTACAAATTTGTGTACAAATCACTTTTCTTCATGAATTAATATTCTCAAAATAGAAGTATTGAGTCATCATTTTTTTTTTCAATTACTTTTTATGAATGACAAGTCTACGTTAAAAATTAATTGTGTTTCGCAGCCCCAAATCTACGCGCATGTCCTTTTTCTTTGTATAAAACTTTCCATTGTAATAAAAAAAAAACATCGTAAAAAATCTGAGTTACCCTCAACACTCGATTAAATAAGTTTTAGGTACTTCAAAAATATTATGTCGATATTCTATTAGATCATAATGTTATTATATAAATTGGAATATTTTTAAAGACATTACTATTTAAATGTTTGTCTTTGTACTATAGCGTCTATAAACTGTGTACTGGTACCTACGTAAGTAAATTATTGTAATTGTATATAATTAATGTAAAATGCTGAAACTTATCCTTATGGTGTTACTATGAAATAAACATTTTCTTTAATAGTTTGTCATTATTAATTCGCCACGGCTACAACCATAAAAATTGAATCCATCCATTCCAGCCTATCAAAATCCATTTCTAAATACAGGCCTCCCCATTGATTGCCTCATTGAGGCGATATTTGCCATAGTTTTGACGCTCGGCAGGCGGGTTGGCAACCGCAGTTTTTATTAAAATTAATTTGTTATCAGTAAGATGGTGCTGCTCATTTTAGTTTTAGTTTTATTCTGTCGCCCACGAAGCAAATACAAAGAGGAGATAGCATAAGCAACTGTGCACTGTGATTCTAACTAGGTCCTGACATCATCACAGTGGGCGTGGCTTTACTTAGTATACTGTCAGCGTTCGTTCTGTGCGCTTATGTGTCGAAAATCGCAAATTGTATTTTCGAAGTATTAAGAAGAAAAGGATAAAGTGTTGTGTTTCATCGTGTATAAAACTACTCAAATAGACGCTCTGACGCTATGGACGGCATCACATTTCATTTGTAAGTAATTTTATACCTAATATATTAAAAAGGTTCTAGAAAAATCTCTGCGTCTGCTTTCAAATATAATTAAATATATTCGACACTAAGTAGATGGTGACACTTTGTGTCATGGGAACAAAAAATATAAAGTTACGTAGAGCTCAGTACTGTTAAAATAATCATACGAAGGTGTTGAAATTTGTTTTCCATTCAGTTCTAAAGACTTTTTAATCGCCAAAATATTATTTTTATAGTCTTTATAATTATTTTGTGAACAGGCCGCCATCTATCGTCAAGGTAGCTAAACTACATTGCAACATCGATATGGAACGATTCGAGTAGTTTTACTGTTTATCGGTAGACGTATATAGTAAAGTGGGCTGGGCTTAACATCCCCTCACCCCGCAAATTGTCACGTGTTGTTACATAGTAAAATCTAATTACAACACCTCCTCTTTGTATTTGTTTGTTTATCATATCAAATCATATCTTCATAAAATTGTCTTGATGATGAAGTAACTTTCGTTCGTTAGGATAAATAGGCCATGCCTAATAATAACGCTTAGAAATCACTTTTTAATTTTCAATATTTTTTGTCACAAAGTACCTAATTATGGCTTATGTATAAGAAATAGACATATGGTATCACGGACTTTTTTTAGACGGAGTAAAGATCTATATTTTTCTAGAACATTGTATTTACGTATCCCTAACCATAACACTAGCGTACGCGGATAAATCATTTCGGGAGCGCTCTTTCTTCTGACTTGCTTAACAAATATCCCAATTTAAGGCTAGCTGAGTAATATAGCTTAATGCTAGATAGGCTATACTATTCCACATGAATCTGGCTATAATATACAAAAAGAATTTTTCTCTTCCGCTTTATTATATTAGTATAGATTTTTAATCACATTATTGCTATAAAAATTGCTTAAACATAGTTACGGTCGTGTCGTTTCGGATTTGTTTACCAACACAGGCCGCTCGCCCTCATCAGTGGCGTAGCAAAATGATATTGGGGCCCTATTTAAACTAAACTAAATACTTTAAAGGTGCAAAACTACTTCATCATCAGCTCCTTGTCGCCCACTGCAGGACAGGATAAAGCAAAGCTACTTACTACTAAGTATTACGTGTAACGCATCAGCAATTACGAAGTAGATTACAGTTAATAATATAGGTAGACAACATAACAGTGGTAGAACCACATGGCAGATTTTGCTGTGACACGGGTGAGCCTGACTAGATGGAGTAACGACCTGGTAAGACATGAAATGAAGAACTGTAATGAAAGAATGTATTGAATGGGTGGACCGGCTCGAACCGAGGAGACTCAGGACCTTACAGATAACCAGTGTTTAGGCGAAATATTAACCGTTTGAAAATTGAATTCCCAACGCACGCTCGGAGCGTGCATCGCACCGTGGCCAGGTCACCTCCGCCCCTCCGGGCGCTTACATAATGTAATGTAAGTTACATTCCAATCGCCGGCGTTTTCGATCGAGGCACGTCGAGACATTCATTGTAACTGCCGGTTGTAAATGACGTATTTAGAATTATAAAGTCGAATTAAGCGTCCCTCATTTTTCGCTAGCTGTGATTCGAATCGAACAGCGTGGCGCCGAATTTGTTAACGAATTTGTGCAGCGACGAATAATCCAGTTTCCTAATTATTGAGAAGTTAGTGTTTAATTGTACCGTTGCG